AGTAAAGAATGCTGGGGCTAAAACTCTGGCAGAGAGGATGTTTAGCACTTAGGAGGGTGTAGGTTTGGTCCATAAATAAAACACAAATGAAAGAATTACTTTAATTAAAAATATTTATTCACTCAAATATTTGAGACAAAGTCTCATGCAGCCCTGATTAAAATCAAACTTGCTAAGTAGTAGAGGATGACCCTGAACCCCTGATCCTCCTTCCCCAGCTCCTATTGGGACTAGGCACACACCTCCATCTTCCCCCCCCCACCCCACCCCTGCATCTCACTCTTGACATTTGATTGGCAGGTGTTTCTTTCTCAGACGGCCATTCACCCCTGTGCCTGGAAGTTTATTACTCTTTTCAATGCATTCATCTCCCCGGGAAGTCCTTCCTAGAGTTTACTCCAGGCAGATGGGGTACCCTTTCTTCCTGCCCTTGCATCTCTTCCGCGATTGCCCCTCACCACATCTGCTCATTTCCAGATGTGCGTCTTGAGAGATGGCGAGCTCCTAGGCAGGGACCGGGTCCTAGGCACGTTCACATCCGTGTCCCTGGCACATAGATGATTCGGTCTTGGCGAAATAAATGATGTACGCACGGTACATTCGGAATGGGCTTACGTGGGACAAGTGCCAAGATAACCAGGAGATTCAAGATGTGTTTGCAGTTTCCCGTTTCTTGTAGACTTCTGGAGGAAGCTGGGCTGAGGCTGGGGCTTTCTTTTCCTGACCCACGGTTATGAGTGGGACCTAACACCAAACCAGTGGCTTTCATCACAGCAAAGTTAGTTTGGGAAGGGGATTTTCTTTGAGTCCCTCCCACTATTTATCAGCATTGAGGACTGCGGACAGTATTAAATACAGAGTTGCCTGGGAAACCCTGTGTCTGCCGCTGAATAACCTGTCACCTTGCTCTGAATGGGGGCCCTGTCTAATTGCACCTGCAACCAGGCAGTTGTGGGGCAGCAGATTCTGGGCTTCCTTTTAATTGCTTGGTCTGAAATGGGGAGTGTTTAGGAAGCTGCCACGGTGTCTGAATCTTAAGCCTTTACACATGGAAAATAACTGCAGGAAGAGATGTAGAAAATATATAGTTTAGATTGCTATACACTAATTAATGTCACTAACCTGGGACCAACAGTCCTGTACTTTTCCATTCTAGAAAGAGATTGACCTATAGATTCAATTGATACTTCAGATTGACTGACTGCTCTGTGTTGACATTTGCCGCTCCGTTGTTGTGACACATTCCCCAAAGTTCCCATGATTCTGTGGATCCTGTGACCTTCTGAACTGTACACAGAGGAGAAGCTGGACAAAGAAAGCTTTGCCCCCTGATCTGGGTCCACAGGCTTTAGCTTGTGTTCTGTTTTTAATGATAGGATCTCAGGTGTCCCAGACTGACCTCTACTTTCCACGTAGGATGATGATAGGCCCGTACCACCAGGCCTGGCCTGGATACACGTTTTCACTCTGCTCTTGAGTCTAGGAGCCTCTCTTGCATTTTTTTTTTTTTTTTTTAGAAGGACCTGTTCAAGTTCAGTAGAGCTTTGGGAACATTTATCGACTTTTTGTGTGCATGCTTTTGTTCACCTTTGTTCTCTGGTGGGTCTAGAGCTATCTATTTCTTCCCCTTTTCAAAAATGGGCTTGCTCCTTGGCCAGCTCACATCCCCACACAGTGGTGGCATGGGGTTTAGCCAACTGTCCTAAAAGGCAACCTTTGTCCTGCATCCCCAGAGCAGAGGCTGGCCTTTTCTCCTTGCTGTTTGCCAGCTCCCCACCCCACTCCTCTGTCCCTGCCACTGCCCTCCCCCCTCTCCTCAACAGGTGATATTCCATAAGAAACCCCCATGCTCCCAACTGTGCTTCCTGGAGAACCCCGGCAGCAGACCACCAGCAGAGGTGGATAAGGGTGAGATCACTAGGCAGGGATTCACTGCGGTGTTTCAGGCTATGATAGTCTGGAAGGCAATGGCCCCATAAGCTCACACATTTGAATGCTAGGTCCCCAGTAAGTTCCACTGAACCCCTGGAGAAGAATTAGTAGTTATGTTGGAGGACGTGTGTCACTGGGGTGGACTTTGAGGTTTCTAAAACCCACACCCTCCCCAGGTAGTTCTCTCCATCTGCCAACTGCAGATCAGGATCTACATTCTCAGCTACTGTCCCAGTACCATGTGCCTTCCTGTTGATATGGCCTGGACCATGAAGGTCATGGACTTGCTCTAACCCTCTGGAACTATGAGCCTCAATTAAATACATTCATCTATAAGTTGCTTTGATCATGGTGTTTTATCACAGCTGTGGTAACTAAAAGTACCTAAAAAGTTACTAAAAGTAACTAAAGACACAGGCCCAGGCTGTGGGACAATGGTCTTGTATCCTGTAAAGATCTGTCACTTGTATTGCTTTAATAAATGCTGATTGACCAATAGCCAGGCAGGAAGTATAGGCTGGGCAACCAGAACAGGAGAATTCTGGGAAGAGGAAAGGCTCAGTATGCAGTGGTCACCCAGATGCAGAGGAAGCAAGATGAGAATGCCTCACTGATAAAAGGTACCAAGACACATGGCCAACACAGACAAGAATTATGGGTTAATTTAAGATGTGTTAATAAGAAGCCTGAACAAATAGGCCAACCAGTTTATAATTAATGTAGACTTCTGTGTGTTTCTTTGGGACTGAACAGTTGCGGGACTGGGTGGGGCAGAAACCCCTGTCAATGGGCCCAAGCTGGAAATATAGCAGGTATGGAGTCAAATTATCTTGGGCTTTCTTTAGCACCCCAGATAGACACCTATTGCTCACTGCTGAGTTTGGCTAACATCTGTCCTTTGACTGTCAGGTGCATTCTCTTCGGAATGTTCAAACAGAGCCCTGACTTCTACCAACCCAAATGTCAGGAATGTCACTAGATTACACCAGAGATCAAGAGCAGAGGCAGCCACCCTACCTGATGTTTCTACTGATGTATTTGAGACATCTCTTGATCTATGACTTTCTGTGTCCTCTTAATATAAAAACTTAGTGAAACTGATACCACACTGGAACACAGTATTTGCGGGTAAGCTGAATCTGTGTTCCTGGACTGTGTGATCTATCTATCTATCTATCTATCTATCTATCTATCTATCTATCTATCTATCTATCTATCCATCCATCCATCTATCTATCTATCTATCTATCTTCTACCTGTCATTTGTTTGTTTGTTTGTTTATTTATTTATTTACTTATTTATTTGTGTGTGTGTGTGTGTGTGTGTATGCCCATGCATACACTTCAGGACAATAGGGGGCTCACAAGCAAGAGCTGTGTGTTTGCACACAGAAACACCTTTGCTTCAGGCATCATGTTCTGTGGCTGCTCCCTGTCTGCTGAAGCTCTGATATTGTGTCTGCTGGCTCCACATTGGGTACTGCTGTTGAAATCATTGTCATTCTGTTAATTTGAATTCTTTGTCAATTTCTGATTTTGTGGACAAGGATTCCACAGTGGTGATGTATTCTTTCCACATCTTTTGAAAAAAGAAATCCAAAAAAGAGAAAGAAGGAAAAGTAGCCCACAGCACATCCTCAAATGCTAGAAAACACTAGGGAATGGTATTGGGTGTTTTTCAAATGATATAACACAAGCATCTACTGGCATCGTGGGCAGCCTTGGGCAGAATCTTTTGTCAATACTGCCAACTTAAGGGTTTATTTTCCTTCCAAAACTTCTTTGTGCTTGGAACAGCCTCCATAAGCTTTATGGAAAGTATAGTCTGTGTATAAACATATTAATATTTATTTTATTAGCATTAATGGTGAGTGCCAGGAGCAGACCAAACAACAATGCCCTTCTTTAACTTTGTGGCAGGTCCGTGAGCCTGTCTGGTAGCTCACTGCAGTCATCAGTGCTGCCTCTGGGTTCCACAGCTTTTAGGCTCTGCCATGAACTCCTTGCTGGGCACATCCTCCTCCTGCTTTGCTGTTGAATTAGCGGTTTCCATGGAACTCATAATATCCTGATCACTAAGTCTATTTCTTACAGGAAGATTATAATCATATTCTGGTCTTCCCATTCTCATAATTGGTTTTTCTTAGAACTGCAACTCAGAGAAACATACATCTCCTGAGAATATCAGGGAGAATTCCCACCCAGAAAGGAGGCTTTGGCTGAGTGGTGGGCGGAGCTTGTGGGGTAGGGACTTGAGATGATTGACAGATTCACTCTGCTGTCTTGGAGCGGGGCTGCTATGACAGTCAGTTTTCTATTGACAGTGAGAAGGGACCCCTGTGCCTCTTTCTGTAGGGCTTGAGGCAAAAGCAACGGATGCTATGCTAAGATGCCGAAGAAGCTAAGTCCAACAAGGTTCCAGTTCTTCGTGCTCAACCAGATTAAAAACAAAACAAAATAAACCCAATTGAACAACAGCAAAAATGTCCAAGAAGGCTGTACTGGGAAGGGAAGATGATTAGAAAAGGCTTCTAGAGGGGTCATGCTCCCTAGAAATGCACATTAAGTGTAGTTGTACAAGCAAAGGAGGAAGGGATTTACCATCTGGGACAGGCAACGGGCTCTAAGGGGCAGGAAGAGCAATCTCAACTCCCCAGCACTGCCAAGGTCCCAATTGTTTCTGAACCCACAGGGTATTGTATCAGAGTTAGAGGAAATTGTGCAGACTCAAGAGCTTGGTTGTTCCTGAACACCCTTTCCCAAGGTGTCTCCTATTGAGCTGCCTCATAGACCAGAGTCTGCAGGGACTTCCTGGAGCATGAGGACATGGGCTGGTGGCCGGGGTTAATGAGATAAAGATGTCCTCATCATCTGACTTGGCCCTGTTCAAGTGTGAATCTCAGTGCTGGAGGCTCATCTCCCAGACAGAACATTGTTCCGGTTGCTATCATGCCAAAGGTCTGCACAATTTCTGTTCTATTTAGGAAACCCAGGGTCTTTTAGTTAGGATAAAATTCTGTCTCAGTGAGAGTGAACTCTGAGGAGCATGTTTTCTTTGTCCTCAGCAGATCGGACCTTCTGCTCCCTTTGAAGTTGGCTGTCCCTGCATCCTTGGATGGGTAAGTGAATGTCTGCTCAGGTAGACGGCACCCCATATTCATACATTTCTAAGATCAACTTGGATTGGGAGATAAGGCTGGCATTTATTTTGAAGTGGCTTCTTGAGCCATCAATATGAATCAGACCCAATTCAGTGTAATTAGCAACCATGCACACATATTAGTATAATATATATTAGCCCGTTGGCTAAATTACCTCCAATATCATAAACTAATTTGCCATAGACTGGATTACGGCGAGAGCGCTGGAGGTGATGGAGAGTTTGCGAATGCAGAGATGGCACATGTTTTGCTGGCAACTGGTAATTTAGCACTCACTCAGATGCCATAAATACTGGTTTTGGCAAGGGGAGAATCATGGAATTTATCTCTGGTCTACACTGTGGTTCGACTGTTAGACTGGGAAACCTTTTTACATCCTTGAGATACAGACTAGTTCCTCGCTTTTATTAGTGTGCAGACTGTAGCTTTCCCCCAGGCTGGCAGATCGCAGTGGAAACTCTGAATGTCTGCCGGGGGCTAGGAGGAGGGTTAGGTTCCAGGACCTCTTAGCTCTGTGACCTTGAACCTTCCCTTAGCCAGTCAGCTCTGTGACCTTGAACCCACCCTTGGTCTCCCTGGGCCTCCACTTTATCTTCTGTTGTTTGAATAATTCTATCTGGAATTCATATCATTTTTATTTCTTTAATCTGAATCACATTCAGATGGTTCCATTGAGTCTACATACAACATTGAGTCTCCAGCAAACACCTACATAATGAGAGTCCTTTCTTAGGGACACTTTGGATTTAAGGACTAGCAGAAACACTATCTGGTTTTGTAAGTGACATTTGTAAGTGAGCTTGTAGAACCTTGGGAACCAAATAGGGTTGCTGTGATGTTTTCCCTGGTTCTGGGGGGACACCTGTGGTGGCTTCCTCTAGGCCTTGGCTATTTCCGGAGACAGATGCAGCAGGGGCCAGTTTCCGGCAGGAGGTCGGGTCTCCCACCCTTTCTCATTTTGCCTTCTACATGTGGGCTTCTTTTTCCAGGTGCGAGTCTGGGCAGGGTGGGACAGTTGGCCTGGACTGTGGATGCTGCTGGCCTCTGGGGTCCAAAGAGGAAGACTCAAAAAATGGATGAGTGTTTTTATTTGCCAACATCCATTTGTTTTCTGTCAGGACCAGCCAAACCAGTGGATTTTTATTGGAATACTATCTCTAGTGCACAACAGCTTCTCTCCCAGTGACTGAAGTGAGCCACAGAGCCACCCATCTTTTCATATGCCGACTATTTGCTAAATACTTCTTCCTAAGTGCAGAGTTCTTTTAGTGAAGGCAATGGAGGTTAAGAGGGCAGGCCCGGGCCCTTTGTGAGGTTTGTTGTATATCCACGAAGCCGGTACATCTCACTAAATACTGTGTCAAACACCAGGCTAATGTGAGTGAGTTCTGTAGAGGAGATGGTCAATTCAATCAGTTCTCCATGAGAAATTCAGTGGGTGGGCCTCATCCAATCGGTTGATGATCTTAAGAAAAGACACTGTGTCCCCCAAAAGAAAAGGGGTTCTTTGTCCCTCCTGCAAAATCTCTGCTTTTTCTTGAGCCTACAGCTTGTGGGCCTTTACTGCAGGCAGATCCTGCCCTTCATGAACATCTGAGTCAATTTCTTCCTCTTATTTGATTTTATTATTTAAAAAAACCTTGGAAATAAATAAAAAACCTCAGATACAAAAATTAGCCAGACCCAAAGACTCTACAACTTAATGAATGCATATACAATTAGAACTGGTATTTAGAATGGAAGCTGTGAGACTTCAGATTAAATTTTATACTTCCCTTATCGAATACACATTTCTCTGTCACACAATCCACAAGCTTCATGGCAGAATGAAGACAAAGAAAAGCATATCCTTTCATAACTCATGTCCACCGCCTGCATTCCGTCCTTCCTCATCCCCTTATAGTTACTCATTTATTATTCTTTGCCTTCTTGTTCTACTGTGCCCACGTGGGTATTTGTTTACATATGTATTATTGATTAGATATCACATGTGAGAGAAAACATGAGGTTTCTTTCTTTCTGAGACTGTGTGACCTTGCTTTATATCATATATTCAAAGTCTTTCCAGTTTCCTGCAAAGTTTTCAACTTTAATATTCTTTTGAGCTTTGCAGTTCTCACACACACACCGCACACTCTCTCACACACACTACACACACACACATACCACACACTCACACACCCCACACACAGACACTCTCATACCCCCACACACATATACACTCACACACTACACACACACTCATACACCACAACACACCCTCACACACACTTCATACACTCACACACACTCACACCACACACACCGCACTCACATACTATACACACACCACACTCTCACACACTACACACACACTCATACACCACAACAAACGCTCACACACACTCACACACACTCACACATACTCCATACACTCACACACACATATACACACACACACACACTCCCACCCCTCAAATGGTCATTATCCAGTCATTTCTTGATGGCAATAGGGTTGATTCCAATTATTTGCTATAATGAATAAAGCAGCAATAAACACGGGAATTCAAATGTTTCTATTGTAGTGAGCATAGGTCTCTGGGTATGAGTCCGTTGCTTTATATCCTCCCCATCTCTCTTTTTCCTGTGGCCCAATCCTTCCTACCAAGAATCTGGGTGGCCACCGAGGTCTGAAGACAATCATTTCCTCTGCTCCTCAGCCTGGAGCCTCCAAAGCCTGGGAAGGAACTGAACAAGAGTCTCAGAATGGACTCACAGTTATGGTCCTGTTAATGACTACTTCCATGAAGTGTCTAAAATGCTAAAATGGCTTTTTTTTTTTTTGAGAATCTTGTTTTCTTCTCTCTAAAGTTTCCATTAGCTATTGGTTCAGCTGCTATGTTTGTGGAGCCTTCCCTGTAGACCCCGCTGTGGGCTCCCCTTCCTATCAGGGACTCTTAACTGTGGACTCCAATTTGACAACCAACCTTAGACCCAATGCCTCTAATCTGGGGCTTTAAACAATCTTCAATGTATTTTGAGTTTCTTCTCTCTCCAAGGAACTCTCTAGGTTTTTTTTTGGGAGGGGGGAGGGGTTGTTTTGTTTTGTTTTCAACAGCATCCTAAGTTCTCTCCTCCAGTTGCAGAGGTGGCCTTTGTGTCTGTTGATTTAGTGTGATTTAATTTGGTTGAAAACTGGGACTAGTCACATTTGGCAATGAACCAGACACTCAGCATTGGGTCCACTTTCCCTGGGTGGGATCCTCCAAGGTTCCTGCTTCGCAAGGCTCTGCAATGCTTACCCAAAGCATGAAAAGAATATTACAGTATGTGTTAGCAGTGACCCTGTGATACACTTACCTCCTTGTACATTAATAGTTCCTTCTGCCCAGCTCTTCACTCTCCCTGGGATTTTCTTGGGAAAGTTTGAAGTTTGACACTTATCTTAGGCCTCATTCCATCTCAACCCTGTGTAGGAGACCCAAGCTCTCAGAACTTTTTTTTTTTTTTACTATGCTTCCTGCTTAATGCAGGTCCTGATTTCTTTTTGCAGAAATTGTAGAAAGAGAGAAAGCCAGGGTCATGACTACTTAGAGGTGCCTGCAGGAGAGGAGAGGGAGGATGCTGATGGCAAGGTCAATGCTAGAGACCGGTTTATGCTCCTTGACCCATAGCTCGTGTACTGAAGTACTATCCCACAGTGCAACTGTCTTTGGTGATGGGGGTGAGAACAATTAAAGTCATCAGGATGGGTCCCTTGGCTGGTGATGTTTACCCTCAAGAGAGGAAGAGACATGGAGTCTTCTCGTCATTCGTGCACTAAGGAATGACTATGCAGAGCAGAGAACCCTCTGGAAGCCAAGAGAAGGGCCTGTCGGGAACCCAAGCCTGGCACGTCTCTTAGATTGGACACAGTGGGAAGCAATATGTGCGGGGGAAACAGTCTGTCAGTGGTGTTTCCCTGTGGCCACCAGCGCAGACCAATCTGGTTGCTGAGGGTTGTGTGTATGGCAGACCTAACTTGTGCAAACAGAGGAGGCCAAGGGAAGAAAGTGAGTCCCTAAGGCTGCTGGGTTGGTGTTCTGGGCCACCTTGAGTCCTGAGTGCTTACACTTAGATTTTGGAGAACTGGGCCTTCTCTGCTGGAAGTGGCCCTGGGAGTGGTCAGGCCAAGCTTTTACTGGCACAGTCAGTTGGAGAAACTTACCCAGGACCCTTTTCCTTTCCAGACGAAGATGGGAGCCTTGCCCAACTCCACCCCAGCCCCAGCTTTGCAAACTTTCCCAATGACAGACCAGCTCTAGGGCTATCATTTGGCACCAAGTGATGATCTGACTTTCAGATCATCAATTTTGGCTCTGGTGTCAAGGACTTGGCTCCTTGGAGAAGAGAAGGTCCAGTCTCACTGCCGCTGCCACATCCTGTCTTGTCAGCGATTCTACAAACACTTAAAGGCTTCCCACAACATAATCAGTGAGTGGTCTACACGACTCCAGTGTTCTTCACAGACCCCTCTGGAAACGATGGCCTCGTGGTTTCCATGGTTTCCGTTTTATGACCAGGTAGAGGAGGTCACCTGTGGTTTCTCTAACCTCCATACTGCTTCTCTCGTGTCCTTGGGCCTTGCTAACCTCTCCTCTGTAGCTCCATCTCCATTTTTCAAAGTGTTTATCTTAACCATTTCTGTGCATTCGTCATTGAGTCCTAGATTTGCTCTAGACCCCAGGAGTCCAGTCCAGTCCAGTCCAATCCAGCCCAACCCAGGTGACATCTATAGACATCTCCATCCTATGCTGTAGGTCAGGATCAAGGTGGGAAGGCCCTGTGGGGTGACTGAGCTGAGGCAGGCTGACTTTTCCTTCAAAGGCGGCATGGCCTGTGTGGCTGCTTTCAGATGCTCCTCGGAAAATGGGCTGCGGGATTTTAACAGATATAGGGGAGAACAGATCGGAGTGGGCACCAGGTCCACAGGTAGGTGA